GGACCTGCTGTGTTTTTCAGGTGGTCTGGAGAGTATTTTGGGATCTACGTGAGCTGAGATCACCCATGGGTTTTTAAGCAATGTGTTTCCCTGTGTCAGGCTAAGTCTGCAGAGGAAGTTTTGGAGATCTGCTTTAACTAGTGTTGATTAATGCCAGGGTGATGGTAAGGAGGGTATGTATGTCCCTGCCACGTGGAGGGAGGGTGCCAGCACCTTGGTGTGGGCCTGGCAGAGGTGACTCTGGAGATGCATGAGGAGGCAGATGTTGGTTGCCAACACAGCCAGACTGGTACACTGGTCAAACCTCACCCTTCAAAACTCCTTTTTCCACCCCAGGCTTGACTTGTGGCAAAATGAATGCTTCCACATAAAATGTCACGCCTCTTTTTGAAAAAAGCTCCAGTTTTAACTGCAAAACCCAAAAGAACCAAAATGGAAATGAAAATATTTGGGCTGGAAAACATTAGTTTCCCAGAAATTAAAAAAAAAAAAAAAGGAAAAAAAAAAAATCAGGCTGAATTGTTTTGCTTCCCAGATTTTTTCTTCCCCCCTGGGAAACCATCTACTCTTCATTTGACAGAGGAAGAAAGAGACAGGCAAAATAAATCCATGGCGATCTCAGCCAAGCTGATCTGGGGAGATATTCCTTTCTGACCTTAAAATCAGACATCTGGTAGCCCCAAGTACTTACAGGATGCTCATCCAGCTACTGGGGTGGTTTTGCAGCACCCCAGGACTCCACCAAAGTGCTTTAACCACCTTAGCTGTGAGGGAAAAGGGAGAAGATGGATTGGAAGTCATCTCCTCAGGATCAAAGTCACTTCAGGCTTAAGAAGCAGGGATTAAAGTTTTACTCATGGCTGTCCCAATGTGGGTTTGTTGCTGACCACGCTGTGGCTCTTTCATGTTCTGATAACCCAGTGAGGAGGAAGGGTCCTGGTTTCTTCCTCAGCTCTTCTAGTGGAGATATAAAAGGCAACTCCCTTGGTTTGCTTTTCCCCTTGTCTATGGTTGAATAACTGTTGATGTTGTTTGCTAAACAAGAGCGCCGGTGGCAGAGGAATTAGAAGAAATCCCTTCTTAATTGGAAACAGTGAGTCTGTGTATTTTTTCAGTTGTCTATTTTGGGCCTTGTAAAATTAAAGTTATTAACTGTAATGCAGCGGTTTCCAGATTCCCACAGCCCTTTACAATAGCAGGGAAATTCATCCCAGGTCACTGGGAGCCTTTAATGAATACATTAAGGCTTATTATTAAAATAAAGTACTTGCAGCTTTATGGGAGACATCTGGCAAGGATGCTTGTCTCTCTGAAGGCTCCCTGAGTGTCCTCTCCCAGCGTGCACCACGTTTGTCCCGGCAGAGGCTTTCAGGAGCTGTTCCGCACACAAGGATTCTCACAGGAGGCTCTGGGAGACACAGAGGGCCTTTGCTGGATGTGATGGAGAGTGGTTGGGCCAGACCTGCCCCTGTGATCGCTCCACTGATGTTTCTGGAGCCGACCAGCCCCTTGCTGGTGCTGCAGGTACCGGTGTGAGCCCCTCTGGGATGCTCCTGCTCAGCAGAGCAGATGCACCGGGGTAAAGCTGCTTCATTCACCAGGGTGATGTGCAGGCTGAGCCGAGTCTGGGCTAATCCCAGGCAGGAGATGAAGAGACTGGGCAGAGCCAGCTGACCTGGCACAGGCAGGGTCAGCTTGGAGCCAGCTGCTGGCCAGCTGTGCTGGCCCAAAGCACTGAGCCAGCAGGGTGCTGCAGCTGATAAGGGACTTCATATCGCCTCGGGTGAGCTCACTGGTGCGGCTGCCCCCATGCAGCGCTGTGTAGTTACATCATAAACCAACTCCTTGGTGCTGCACAGAAAGCTGGGAGCCAAATCCTTGGGGTTTAGGGCCAGAAAGTTCCCCAGGCTCCCTGGGCTGGCATCGATGGGAGCAGGTAACTTGCAGCCAGGGCGTTCGCGTGCCGATGAGAGCGAACCGCGGCCAGCGGGGCTGCGAAGGGGTCTGGAATGGCTGTGATCTTATCGCTGCTTTATCTCTATCCAGCCTTGATCCCGGCAGAAAGCGGGGCCACGTGGCAGTAATTGTGTTAGGAAAACAAACTAATCTCCAAAGGGACAGAGAGCAGCTGTTGGGCTCTTGGTGCTATCAGGGAAATGGATGTGGCCTGCCAGCTTGCAGTGCTGTTCTGCTGGAGCAGGGGCCAGGCAGGGGATGGAGGGGGCAAAAAAGGGATTAGAAGGAAGTTTGGGCTGCCAGGTGAGACTGAAGGAGTGTTTGTTGTGGCATAAGATGCCCAGTGTTACCTACCCTGCTTTGTCAAGAAGCCCTTTGCTTGCCAGAATGTTTGAGAGGCATGTTCTGGTGGATCAGGTAAGTGAGTAGGGAGAGCCAGGTTTAACCTTGGCAGATTCCTTATCACCGTCTGCCTGATGTCTCTTTTGTGCTCCGTGTCTAGTTGGGCAGCAGGTTTGCAGAGCTTTCTCTTAGTGTTCTCCATACAAGACTTGCCCTGTGCCCCAGGCACAGGGCAGGTGCCCCTGCACCCTGCTGCTGACTGTGGCTGAGCTGCTTGTCTTCCCTCCCTACCCCACTCCCACTTCTTCAGTCTGATCTGAGAGTGCACAAGGTCTAGCTGGCAGGGCATCACTGCAGGCTTGAGGACCTGGAGAGATGGAAAAAACTCTTGGAGATGCCTCTGGAGGTTGGGTTGCAGCAGGAGGAGCCCTCCTGTGCAGCCTTTGCCCAAATTTGCAGGGGAGAGGAAACACGCAGTGGTCAGTCTGGTTTGGAGCTGGTTATCTCCTGCAAAGCCATAGGCAAGAAATTAATTACAATGATCCTACAACTGCTGTGCTTGGCCCTCCCCACACCTCTCCTCTGTGACTGTGTCTCCAGCCCAGGAGCTCAGGCAGAAAAACACAATCTACCCCCTAAATCTGGAGTGTGAGTATCTTTGGGGTGGTGGAAGACAGGGAGAAAAGCAAATGGCAAAGGCAGATCAGCCCCACAGGTTACACATGAGCCCCCTCCCCTCCCCAAAAAGCTGAATCAAGCCTCTGGCATTGAATAACCCCAAATTTGGGGAAGGTTAAAATCTACCTCTGAAGTGTCTGGCTCCAACCCAACACAAACATTATTGTTGTCTCTGCATTATGTAGTTTAACAGAAAAGAAAGTCCTATCATTAAGTAACACCAACAAGATACACACTTGTGTCTTGTATTTAGTCTGTCCTGCATAGTCTACTAAGGCTCCAATTGACTTGAAAAAATCAAAAAAAAGCCAGAATTACACAGCTCCCAAAAGCTTTCCTGAAAATAAATTTTTGCCATGTTCTGCCCCAGCAGTTAATTAAGACTTCTATTAAATGCTGACAGGAGCTTGATAATGTAATATGTTGCAGCAGGCTCTGTTCGTGGTGTTATAATTATGGCAGTAAAACAGTTTCCATTATAGCCTTTCTTTTCATAAGCTCATAACTTTTGAAAACATTCACTTTTCAGGTTGAAATTTTTGCATGCCTGGCCATTACCCAGTGGGGAATTTTTTTGGAAACTCTGAGGAAAAAAAAAAAAAGCCATGTAGTCTTTTTTGAATTATGGGGGAGAAAATATGAGCTTTTTTCAGCTGGAATATAGGTGAAGAGGAAAAAGGTAATGACATATTTTTTATAAATAGATGGATAGTAGAAGCATGTGATACCTGATGCTTACTTTGGAAATGGATAGGCTAGGCTTTGCAGAGTGCCTGGGGCATGTCCTATGCAAAAAAAAAATTCTATCTCTGACTTAAAAGCCTTGATGAAGCCAATGACAGAGCCTCAAGAGAATCCAGTTGTCACCCATGAGAAGTGACTCTTGGTTGCAGGTTAAAAATAGAGGTTGATAATTAATAACTCTTTCCTCCTGGCAGCATTTTTGAGGCACTGACAGTATTTCTCATCTCTCCTGGGGAAGAGGAGTCAGTTCTGAAAAATTTTGTGAACTAGAAAACCAAAGAGTAAGATCTTTAAGGTCAATGAAAATATTTTTCTTTGATAATTTCAAGCTTCCTGTTTTGATAGGGGTTTTTTTTCCCTAGAAGCAGCTTAATTCTGAAGAGAGAAGACCTTTTCAACTAAAACCCTGGGATGTCACTGAAGGAAATGTAAAAGCCAAACATTTGGACAATTTGGAAACAGATTTGAAGGTTTTTTTCCAAGTTGAAATAACTGTCTGAACTACCCTTGCCTGCAAAACGTTAAATGGGCATTTTCCCACCAGCCCCTTCCCAAGCCCATTGCACAGGGAGTTTCCCAGCTGGCCTGTGTTAGACAGTGGATAGATGCAGAGATGGGGCAAATGAGGTGGAGCCTCATTGGCAGGAGCAGCCTGAACCACTGTGAGACTTCACTGGACTCGTGATTTGTTTGGCTCCAGGATTTCATCCTCCTTCTCAGCCACCACCACCGTGGTCCCTCAGGAGGCGCTTCAAAGGCATGTGGGTCCCATGGGACATTGAAGATACAGCTGACCTTCTATTACAGCCTTCAAAAGCATCTAGGATGATTAAGAGTCTACCTCCTGATGGGGCCTTTAACCACATGGAAGGCGGGATTTCAGCTCTTAAATTGTTTCTGTGCTTTTGAAATGGGCTTGTTGTCTTTGTTGAGGCTGGTTCTTCTTAGTTGCTGGCAGTGGTCAGGGAAGGACATGGGAGTGGGGTCAGGCAGGAGCACGGCTGGAGAGCCATGCCTTTCCAGCATCATGTCCCTTGGTGACACTGGGCTGTTTTCAGGCAGAGCTAAGAGAAACAGTGTCCTGGAGAAGGATGTAGAGGATGAATGGAGGCACAGACCTGCCCCTGAGAGATGGCAAATGCACTTTGGCAACATGAATGACTGATAAATCAGAAGTAGACTGGCTACTCTCAACCCCCTTGTCTTCAGCAGTGGATCAAGGGATGTCTAACACTAAACACTGTAGTTACGCTTTTTTCCTCCTCTCCAAAGCAGGGCACTGGCTGCTCAACTTGGTCACGTGTTTGTGTGCCTGCTCATTCCCCACCCAGGGCTGCAGAGTTCCCAAAGGCCAGCTGGGTTTTCTGCAGCTCCTTTCCCAACCCACCACAGAAGAGACGACCAGGTAGGACTGTCTGCGTGGCACAGGGGTGGGTCTGCAGGCTGTGCTGCCCCACGTGAGAGGGACCAGTGTCCTCCCCACAGTGCTGTGCACAGCCCCTGGCCGGCCTGGCTGCTTTCTTTGGCGTGGCAGGAGCTCTGCTTGGCTCTGGCAAAAGCTGTCTTGACACTGATGTAATCGAAATCCACATATCACTGGGGGAGGCTTATCTCCAAACATGCCCAGCCCTGGAGCCAGCAGCCCCAGCACGAGCCCACTGCCCGAGGCAGCGCCAGGAGGGTTGTGTGGCTGGTGTTGACTAAGTCAGCTCAAAATGATGGTGTGTAGGCATGCTGCCAAGACTTGGAAAGGAGATTAGGGCTGGAAAAATTTGCCTTGACTGTCAGACCCAAGGGTCTTTGCTGACCTGGAGCATTTGTCTTTAGATTTTGCTCCCTGGAGCGCTCCCAGAGGGCTTCCCTGTCAAGGTGGGGGTAGCAAGAGGGATGTGCGACCCAAGTCCTGCCCAAATACCCTCTCTGGGTTGGCTCCAGTGATTCCAAGGAGCCCCAAAGACAAAGGCAATGGAAAGCTTGTTCTAGGAAGCAGACCCAATTTGTATCCTTAATTGGAGCCAAGGGGGAATGTAGGCTTTCGAGTAGGATTGAGGCCAAATGTACATACCAGAAACAAAAGAGAAAAATTCTCCATTGACTTAAAAAAAACCAAACACCTTAAATGCTCAAAACTTGCTCATATTGAGTTGGACAAAAATGGGATGAGCAAAGAGGGATCAGAAGATAGGAAATTACACCAGTACTGCACATGTTGAGAAACAGGTTTAGTCCATAGAGTGAGATGTTCAAAAGGTTTGTGAACACTATGAACACCTTTGGTAAAAAATACTGCAGTCATGGTGTGGTGGAAAGGAGCTGCAAAAGGAAGAATATCAGAGAGGTTACATGAGGTTCAATCAAAAGTCTCTGGTGTCCATCCACAGGCAGCAGTGACTCCCTGGGGGTGGAGCATGTGGGATGGAGCGTGTGTGCTGTGATCTTTAGAGCCAAGGGTTGCACCTGGCCTGTAGTTTCCAGATAGCTCCCAACAGACCAGCCTTCTTTAAGTGTGAATCCGTTCCTCCTTCATCCCTCCGTGCCATCCTCTGGTGTCAGATCCAGCAGGACCCTGTAGGAGGCAGTCTCTGGATTTGTGTCACTGGCAGTGGCATGGTGTTGATTTTCAGCTCCTTACCCCAAATTTCCAGCAGGAGTGGAAGAAACTTCAACCAGTGCTGTTCTCAGTGGGTCCATGTCAGCAGTCTCTGCACTCCTGGGGGGTTTGTCACTGGGTGTTTCCCCTCATGGTGTCAGGCTGCTTGCAAGGAACTTGCTGGTTAAGTCTTGAGTATGTGCTGGTGCTGCACCTCGTGGTTGGGCTCAGACTTCCCTGCTCTCCCACTAACCTGCTCCTTCCACCCCAATTGTTTTTGCAGACTGCATCAATAATCGAATGTGCAGAGGTAGCAGGGCACGGATCTATGTCTGAGCCCTGCTCACATTCAGTACCCCGAGAGGGAAGAGAAGAAGTGGGGGGGGGAAGGCTTTTATCCCCTTTTTAAAAGCAGGAACATGGGATGTGCATTAGGCTTTCTTCTTCAGAGAGTATTCCTGCCTTTCTCCTCTCGCAGCTGTCCCTGGACGCGCGCACCCCGCGCCCCTCCCCGCGCATTCCTGCACAAACCCCTTTTGTTCGCTGCCCTCAGCCAATATCCAGGCAGCAACAGCAGCCCAGATGTTCCCTATCAAACTCCGAGCCATGCCAACAAACTTTGGCACACATGAAAGTGCGCTGAGGAATGGGCCTCCGCAAATACCATTTCTTTTCTTCCCCCCCACCCCTCCATTCCTGTAAGTATTTTTAAATGTTAATGGCTTCCACGCCGGGACAGCCGGCGGGGGGCTGCCAAGCCGGGCTCGGGGGCGTCTGGCAAATTAGTGGTTCAGGTATCCCCGGCGCCTCGACGGGGCTGTGCTGACCTTGAGCCCCTGCTCTGTTTTCCCCAGTGGCTTTCCAAGGCCGGGGCTGAGCCGGTGCTGCGTTCCCGTGGGCGATGCTGTTTGGAGGCAGTGACCCGCAGCCCAGCCCGCGGTGGGGAATGCAGGCAATGCCTTGTGGGGGATTTGCTCTGAGTCTGTTTTCTCCTCGCACTGTCAGGGCTGGTTTGTGACGACCTAGAAAAGCACAGTTCAAGATGCTGCGGGGGCTGAGTGGCCCCTTTAGGCTTGGCTTTGCCGCGGTCCCAGTGCTTGGTGGGTGTGGAAGTGAGTTGGGTTTTTGGCTGGTGTGGGATGTAGTTTTTCCTCATCTCTTTCTCAGCATCTTCCCTGCAGGCAATTCCTGCCGCTGTCATTCAGCTGTGAGCCCTGAGTCATGGTGCAGATGGGGCCACTGTGCTGACCAGGAGCACTGTGGGCACCACAAGCTGACAGAGATGACCAGGAGGAGCAGGAGCTGAAGAACAGTCTGGCCAGGACTCACCTCTACAAACCAGAATCAAGCTGGCTTTGGCCATGGGCGGATGGGTGAGTGCACAAATGAAAACCTTCCTCTGCCCACATGAGTAGAAAATCTACTTCTACTGAGTAAAACACAATCCTGAGGCTGTGCGTGGATATGTTTCAATGGAAGCATCCTAATGTTGCACCCTGATGTGTAGATGTGGTTACAAGCTGCTGCAGGTGGGAGCTGCAACCCCTTTATGCTCCTGTGCAGGCTCAGCTCTGCCCTTTGCTGCAGATGTTTCTCCTCCCATCTCAAACAGCAGAGCCATGTCCCACCTCTCCATCTCCACCACTGAATCCCAAGGGGTCAGTGCCAGATTTGGTGCCAACCACCCTAACTGTGGAGAGACAGCCTTGGAGAGGAGACAGCTGAACAAAGCAAAGCCCTTTTCTGGCAGAAGATCCATTCTCATCTAATTTAAACATTTGTTTCAGCACCAAGGCTCTTCAAAGACTGCCTAAACTCCTTTTTATCCACTATAATGGCAGCGATTTATTTTTTCACTCCTCTCTCACACTGAAAAGATTGAAGCATTTTTGCTCAAATTTAAAAAAAAAAAAAAATTCCTATCTGGATGAAGACCAGGGCTTGCAAAGTTTCCAGGGAGAGTGGTGAACCTCTCTTCCTGGCAGTGGGCTTATCTGAGATCATCTCCTTGAGGAGTATGCCAAGATTTCCACAAGAAGGGATGGCATGAGCCACTGTCTGCCTCCTCCTCTCAGCCAAATTCACTGCAAGGTCCCAGGGGAGGGAGAACAGCTCAATTCCAGCCTGGAGTTGAATGGAGAGGAAGCAATGATTTTGGAGAGGTTCAGAGGAACAATCAGATATGAACTCAATAGCCAGGAGTGCGGAAGGGAGAGGAAAGGGGTTTGTACAATCCAAGCACAGGAGACAGCTCTGGCTACAAGGACATGCTCTGATGGGCAGCAGTGAGCTCCTGTGGAGGGGCCTGACTGGGTGAACTGGGTGAACTGGACTGGATGAGGGCAGGAGCCATTTCCAGAGACATCCTCCCCATCCCCAGGCTTGTGCTTCTTGCACTGGTGACAGAGATCCTCAAAAGACAGTGTCAGCTGCACCCTCTGTATCCTTGTCCTGGCCATGGACCTCAGAAAATAAATGCAACCTTTGAGAAAAGGTTAAGATAAAGAGGTGGTGGAAGAAAAATGGTCTGAGCTGATGAAAAACCCCTCTCTGGAGGGAGAGAGAGAGAGAAAGGGGAAAAAGACTGTGGTTAGTTTTTTTACAATGGATTTGCAGAGACTATTTCTAGAAAGTGGGAGAAATTGAGCTCCAGTTTCTGGTTCCCTTCATTAAGGAGGGAAGGCAGCACCACTGAATTTGCCATTAAAATAGTAGTAATAATCGTAATAAAAAACATAGCCCCTAGATTATCCTATTTTAAAATAAAATAAAATATAAAATCAAGAGGTAGCTGCCATTTCACATGTGGTCTGGTTTAAATCCTGGGAGCAACGTGGCCCCTGAGATCTAACCTGTTGGAGTAGATTCCCGCTGTGTTCAAAGGCAGTGGCAAACCCTTGAATTTGCTTTCAAACTTGGGCTAGGGCTGCTAAGCTTTTTTTGAAGCCCTGAGCAAGTTGAGGAAGATCTCTTTTCATGATCAAGCAGTTTGTGGGGAAAAATATATTGGTATGCTTGCATGGAGGGAACAGTTTGGGATATGAGGCAAGTCTCTCTCCAGATGCTCTCTGGATTGTTTTGTGGCTTATGCAGAAAGTCTGCAATCTTTGGGGCTTCACATAAAACCTGGAGGACAAAGGTCTTTCCTGTAAGCACAGACAGAGTCAGATTCCCCAAATGAGGCCAATTTCAGCAGTTGATCTTCATTTAACACTCCCAAGCCAGATGAAAAATTGCAGACTGAATCTGACCATGTGTACTTCGGAGGGTTTTCTAGTTGCTGGTGCACAGGTGTTGCTCCAGGGAGGATGCAGATGTACCCTGACAGACACCGGCTCAATAATCCTGCTTTTCTGAGCTGGACAGTCCATATTGGATTCAAAGGCAATGCTGGCTTAGTCTCAAAACTCAGGATATCTGTTTGTCCTCCCCAGTTCATCTTCAGTTTCTCCGTTTGTGAGCGCATTGCTACACTGAGCACGTGGACAGGGATTGCAGAGCCTTTTCTCCTGCTAGGAGAGGGATCTGGAAACACTTACAAGCTGCTCATGCTTAATCACTCGGGTAAATCTTAAATGCCTGTCTTAATATTTTGCAGGACTGAAGATGGCATCTGAATTTTTGTGGTGTGCAGGTTACGCAGCAGAGCACACAGACTTTGACAGTTTTGCTCTGTGCATGTTTCAGGGGTCCTGAGGACCCCACAGCTTCTATGAAATTCAGGTACAATTTCAAAGGAAAACTAAAATACAAAGAGGGAAAAAAAGACCCCAAAGTATTTGCCTGATATTTGTACAAATTGTCAGCTCAGTCATGTTCTTATGAACCTTTGCTGAACCTGACCATTTGTATCTCAAACTGAACAAGAAGAGAGTACTAAAAGAGTTTAAAATATAAAAATAAAAAATGAAATGCCCTGTGAAAATGAAGGCAACCAAAATAACTCACAAATCCAGGCTGAACTCAGTCAACGACAAGACAAAACAATAGAAGTCCTTCTTTCCTTCCTTAAATATTGAAATGTTTCACTTCAGCATTTTCAGGCTGAAGCAGATTACTTTATTGAACATCATTTAGTTTGAAGCTTTCTTTTTTGTTTTCATTTTCAATGGACTTCAATTCAAAAGGAAGTCAGTTGTGTGTTTTTGCTTGACTTTTAAAAAAGATTAAATAGTCTCCAAGCAAACCAGAACATTTTGTTACTGGTCAAGCAAAATGTTTTTGGTTGACCCAAAATGAATTGAGATGTTCTCATTATATTAAGTCTTTCCTATTCAGCTCAGCTCCAAAACCAGAATTTTCCACCACCAGAAGAAACCAGTCATCCTTTTTTTCACCTTCCTGCTGCAGCAGTAAAGGTCTAATTTGGGTTGCTCCTGTTTTAATCAGAGCTTGCTTTATTAACCTCTCCATTTACTGCAGGCTGATGTCTGTGATATCAGTGTTTGTAGCCAGGGTGTGGTACAGATCACTCCCCAACTATCTCAGATACCTCACCAAGGAGCTGCTAAGCCTCCCTGGCCATCAGCCTGCTTATTTACGGGCTTTATAGCTATGGTTCAAACCCTGCCAGTGACACCAACACTTGGAAATCATCATTAGTGTGTGGCCCTAGTAAGCCTGTGGGTGTCAGCTGGGTGTGCAGTCATGGCAGTATTCAAAAACTAAAGAAAACACTCTCCTCTCACAGAAACCGCTGAAAAACAACTTCTACACAAACACTGTGAAAGGCAGCAACTGACTGGTGGGGAGGACTTTCCAAAGCCATGGAAGGAAGTTACCGAGTAAAGCCTCTGTAAAAGCCAAGCACTCTAACTCAGCAATCCTTTGAAAGCATCCTCCCAGATCCAGCCTCAGCGAGGAACCCTTCACTGACATCATCCATAAACAGGTGAGGATTTATATCTCTTTTATGTGTGCTTCTTACAGGGAGAAAGCATCAACATTTCATGAACTTTATTGCATGAAAGACAACGTTTCATCTTAAAGACTTCCAAATTGTAGCAGGCATTGTCTGTGGGGCAGCCAGTGGCCAGGGCTGCAGGTGGGAGCATCCCTCGGAGCTCTCTGGGTGCTCTCTGAAGCACAGGCCCTCCAGACATGGGGCACCACAGGTGGTGCTTGTTCAGGGTGACGCTGGAGTGCTGCACCCAAAATTGGCCGTGCTGTCTCAGAGCTCCTGTTTATAGTGCTGAGGATAACCTGGCTGAACTTGGGCTCCCTTCACCTCTCAGGCAACTGAGGGGATGCTGAGGTCCTAACCCTGCACATCTGTCTGTTGTAGCTTAAGTGTTTGCAGGATGGGGAGGAGAATTAAGATTATGTGTGTCCTACAGCTTGCTGGTCTCCAAATGGTTGCTCTTTTTTATATTTCTTCTTTATATTTGTGTTACAGACACCTCCAGAGACCCTGAATGAGGAGGACATGGCTGTGCTCTGGACAAGGCTTCATGGAGAAATATCTAGCATCTTACTGCAAGGATACAGGAAAGGTGAGAGGATGGCTTGGTTTGCAAATAGGTAGGTGTTGTCACACATCCTTCTTTGGCACTGAACACGTGGCCTCACCTGGTGTCCCTTCAACCACCTGGGCTGAAAACGAGCCAAACCAGTGTGCACTGATTCCATGCTGTGCCTTCACACAAACAACAGCATTTCTGGGGTGCCCTGTGGGGATGCAGCAGGATGGGAGCAGTGTCCCACACCACTCCCTGAGGATCACCTGCATTTCACTTGCAGAAGGGAGTTGTCTCAGCCCAGTGTGCTGTGTTGCAGTGGTACAGAGGCGGGAAAGAGGAGAGGACAACATCCTCCAGCACGTGGCTTGTGTAGCTGGAAGGAGAGACATGAACTGGCTGGGCTCAGCTGTCACATTGGTGCTGACTGGCACTTTATGGTAGGAAAGTGATTTTCACATCATGTAATGCTCTACTGCAAATACATATTACAAGCAGTGCTGGCTCTTGGGTTTGGCAACCATCTGTCCCTCTGTCTTGCCATGAAAAGACAAAGATTTCCCACAGAGACTCTTGCAGGGGTGGCAGGAGCTGCACAGCTGATGGCACTGAAAGTGGTGCAGCTGGTGGTGCAGATGTGTGTGCCCAAGGGGAGGGTGATGGGGCTGTGACAGCAGCAGGAAGAAGTGGGAATGGTTTGGGAAGTACCACTGTCATGGGAACAAGGCTGGGAGAGGTGTCAGGAGCTGGCCCGTTCTCAGCTGGCAGCAGCACACCCCGAGGGATGTGGGTTGTCTCTGATGGGACAACATAACCGATGCAGCAGAGCAAGGTCAAAAATGTTGCTCAGCAGCCTGAACCCATGACAGGTCTGGGAGCCTCCCCATCTCTGCTGGAGCCTGTGTGGGGATCCACACACCCAGAATCTCCAAAACGTGCCTCTTGCTGTCCTGGGGCTGCACTGACCTTTCCTCTGCCTTGCCCAGCAGATGTTTGTTGTTAAAAATACCTGAATGGAGACTCTGTGGTGGTCTTGAGTCAATTCTCTCCACCTTTTCCCCTGGCTCATCTCTAGCCTGAGTCTCGCTTTCTTCTTCACCTATCCGCCACGGGCACTGAATACACATTTCCCCTGTCTCTTTACAGCTGTGTTTTATATATTTAAAGGCTATTATCATGTCTTCTCCCCCACACTTCTCTCCCATCCAGACTAAACAACCTCAGCTCATTCTCTTGAGCGTGTAACAACAATAAGTTTGTTTGATGAAAACTCAATTTGTTTAGTGCAGTGGTTCTAATCACCCAAGTTATGCCAAAGATAACAAACATTTAGCAAATTTCTCTTCAAATCTTTAATTTTATCAACTGTTTTGACAGTTAGATCACAATTTTTACACAAAGAGTTAGAATGAAAGCAATTGCTTTCTAGTTTTTCTGTATAAACATTTGAATTATGACTTTCACATTAGGCAATGCAATTAAAAGCATTACAGAACTGTCATGAAGTATTTAACTTGGGGTTATAAAAAGTATTATTTTAATGATGTTTAAAAACCATTTAGAAAGTATCTTTTTAAAGTAATTAGCTACAACAATATTTATTTAGCTATACAAAAACATGTATCAATAATTACTCATTTCCACTTCTTTCACTGCTCAGCTCTGGTTTTCCTAGCCAAAATGGTAAATTTATAATCTTCAGGATATTTCTGGTAGTAATGAAGTTTTGGGGTTTTTTTAATTTTAACAGCTTTTTTTTAAGGTGCTTTTAATTAGCAAGCTTTTAATCCTGTTTAACATTTTTTTTCATGCAAATAATTTAAGATGAGGAGTTACTACAGAATATTTTTGTCTGTGTGGAAAAATGAGGTGAGAAAGACTCCAAAAATGTCAGTAGGAATGTTAATTGTTTGGGGTTTTTTTTAAAGAAAACATTTATATTGCACGCTGAGCTTTCTGCCAGTTCAGATGTGATTTTCTGAAAGCCTAACTCATCTTAAAGGAAAAGCTCAAAAGCTTAAACAAGAAAACATGAGGTGGGAGCCTTAAAAGCCGAGATGTTTGTAGGCTCAGTTTCAAAGCAAACATATCACTGTAAGGAGACGTGTCCTGGACAAACATGCTGCTCTCCCCACCCAGCTCTGCTGGTCACCAGCCCTGTGTGGTGTGGGGTCCCTGTGGGAACACCTCACCCCAGTTTGGCCGCTGACAGCCCCAGGTACCCTTGGGAAGGGAAAAGCGGTATCTGCAGGTCTGGATGGGGAATTTGCAGCCTGCTGGAGTCCATGGCAAAAATCAGACAATTTCTGCAGCCCTGTTCTGTCTTCCTGTTCCATCCCTCTGGCTGCAGTGGGACTTTGTTCCAGCCCCACAGGTGCCATGGACAGCCCTGAGAGAGATCTGCTGGGAGCACTGCTAGGATGTATCCCCACTTTCCCTGAGGAGCAAAATTTGGACCTTTTAAAGGAAAACAGCTGTGAGTTCAAACCACAGCCTTAGACCAGGGGTCAGGGCTTTACCCCTAAGGTCTCTGTGAAAGGTAACTCAGAGGAAGCAAAGCCACAGACTTAAACTTGCTGTGTAAGTCTGCCTCTTCACACAGAGCCACAAATCAAAAGATGTTGAAAACCTTTGGTTTATATGGTTTAAAAAGCAGGTTTCTGATGTAGGTTTTTTCACTCAGTACCTCTTTATGTAAGTGAATTTTTGTTTCCTTCTATGAAATTCTTACAAACCAAAAGACTGCCTTGGTCCCAGAAATGACAGTGCTGACTTAATCCCACTTACCAGGCAGTTAAAGGGAACAGAAACTGAGGAGAAGGAATAGTGCTGGGGTTTTTTTAATTCAGTTTTTTCACCTTACTCCAGAATGAGAATAATTCATTTTACAGCAGAAACACTGCTTCCATTAGATGTACCTGCATTTTTGCATGACTCCTCAAACCAGCCCATTGCAGTAGGGACAGTAACTGCAGGATAACACTGGGGTTACATTCTTGAAGTGTTTCTGGGGTTTGAATCACTGGTACAGTGCTCACACAGTGCTATGGCTCATCTGGACGTGGTGGTTCTTCCCAAGCCAGCCTGTGTTATGATCTGGTAAAAGATGGGATAACATTGGCACAAGATAAAGTGGATGGATACAGTTTGGATGGATACAATAGATACAAGTTTAATAGTACAAATTAGAAAGAGGACTAAATTGATTTAGGAATTTTTGGCTGTGTTATTTTCACAATGTTTTATCCTCATGTCTCTTTAATTAGATGTCAGAGTCCTTGGAAGCTCATGATAGGGTCTGAAACACAAGCAGAAAGGAAACTTCCCTATACAAGTCTCACATTAGGGCTCAATCCTCTCCTGGGAAAATGTTGCTTTGTGTGTTAGTGTGACAGCGTGCAGAGCAGTGCAAGAATCGAGTTAAAAATATATTATCTAAGTTGAGGAGCCCCTTGATGGAAGAGCTTATTTGGCTCTTAAAACTCCCCAAAATTTTGAGTATGAAACCGATGCAAATTGAAGTTATGTCCTGGCACAAATTGCATCTGTCCCGGGTTGAAATGTCATCTGAGGTCTGACCCTGAGGTCTGACCTGGGGAGCCCAATTTGCCAGCCTGTGATGACATTTCCACGCTGATTTGGGAACTGCAAGAGAAGAGATGTTTCTGTGATCTGTTGGTGCTCCCTGCTTCTGGAATCAGCAGACTCCAGGCTAATTAGACCACAAGAAAACGGATGCAGCAGTCATGGAGGTCTCCAGGTCTGTTAGTGAGGGAGCAGCTCTTGAAGCACAAAAAGATACAGGACTCAAATCCAGCCCCAGATGTAACAGGAAAGTTTGTGTTGTTCCTGGGGATATTGGTCCAGGAGATGGGAAAGTTTTCTGTTTTCTCTTCTTGCCTTTTCAGCCTGCATTTTAGCAAAATTTGCTTGGAAAACACTTTTATTCCTAGGTGGCAAATGTTCAGTGCCATGTTCTGCTCACAGGACTTTAAACAGTCAGAGAACACGGTCAGCCCGCGTTTTCTAAACCTGCTGTTGGTAAATGCTCCATGAAATGACTTCACTGGGCTGTAATTGTTCCTGGAGCAAGCTGGCCCAAAGGCCAGCAATTAAACCTTTGGCCGATGGAAGCTGTTAGCATGGATTGCTGCTTTGCCTATAGCATTCTAGTTAACAACTCTAAACTCTTTATACTTTTTCTATAAAACACGTGGGAGCTCTGTGCCTGGAATATCTGTGGCAGTAAAGTGAACATGGTGCTTCACTTCTGTTCATAGCACTAAAACTTGGAAGAGAAGAAAGAGTCAAAGTTCAAGAAATATGTGTTTGTGCTTCATGAAGCACATTCAGTTGATATCTGTGGGTTTGGTGCAGCCCCTTACTGTGATTTAGATATCAGAACAGGTTTAGATTCATGACTCTTATATGGGCATCTAGAACGGAATTAGGTGCCCACGCCTTGTTATAAGCCAACCCTTGCTGGGCTGGCCAACACTGTTCCATTGTAAAATTCAGGCTGACACCTAGTTCTGCCATCTGGACTCCCTGGAGTCTGAGAGAGTTTGAGTCAAAGTTGGATCATGGCTCTCATTCAGATCTCTCCTGTGCTCAGTCAGGTTTCCCAGAGGAAACCATAATCCTGTCTGAAGGGCCACTCAGCATCCCTCTGCCCCAGGCTCATCCAGGAAGGACTTCCTGGTTGAGATAACCATGCTCTCCGCCTCCGCTGGATGCCTGCAACGCTTCTGCTCGGCATCAAGGCCTCCAGCTGAGCTGCAGGTGAACAAAGGTGGCACTTGTGTTCTCCAAAGGCACTCACTGGGCCAAATCCCATCAGAAACACTTAATGCCTGCCAGTTCAGGGCTGTCCCCCCCTGTCCGGGGCTGGTATTTATGGGATGTGTTAGTCATGCAGGAGCTGCTGGAAGTGCTGCCGCGGTAAATTGCAGTGTCATCCATGGCCATCAAGTTATGGGCTTGCTTGGGGAGCTCCAGAGCTTGACTAATCCCTTACAGATTGGAGTCGGGGAGGGATGTGGTCAGGCACTGGAAATGTCCCTGTTTTACTGCTGCTGATGTATTATTGAAGCCCGCAGGCCCCTGGGCTGCTGCAGCTGAGCTGGGGGCTCGTGCCTTTGTGTTCGCAGTGGGAGGGGAGCTCATCCACAGGGCCTCTGACAGGATTAAAGCAGCCACAGGAGTTTGGGAGGGAAGGGGAAAGGCTTCTTTTCGAGGATACTGAGGGATACTGCTGTTCATTGTGGGATCTTTTCAGTTTATACCTAAGGATGGGAGCCTGTATGTGCAACCTTGTGCATAATGGTCAGAGCACACTTTCAGAAACATCAGTGTGGGCAAAATAATACTTTTCCTTGCTGGCCTTCCAGTACTTAAAGGCAGCTTATAAGAAAAGAGAGAGCGACTTTTTACATGGGCAGGTTGTGACGGGGCAAGGGGGAATGGTTTTAAATGAAAAGAGATTTAGATTAGATATTAGGAGAAAATTCTTCCCTATGAGGGTGGTGAGGCCCTGGCACAGGTTGCCCAGAGAAGGTGTGGATGCCCCATCCCTGGAAGTGTCCAAGGCCAGGTTGGACAGGGCTTGGAGCAACCTGGCCTAGTGGAAGGTGTCCCTGCCCATGGCAGGGGGTGGAATGAGATGAGCTTTAATTTCCCTTCCAGCCCCCAGAGCACTCTGGGATTCCATCATTTCCTCACAGTGGTGTCACCGGAACTTTAACTACACTCACTGGAGCACGATCTCTCCTGCTCTTATTTACATTAATTACAGATTATAAATGACCGGGGCGGTGTGTCTGGAGAGTGTAATGCTCCTTGAAGTTTGCTTTATTCGGGTGCGGCTTCCCCTCTCCCTTTAAACCTCATTAGCCCTGTTCGGTCACCGGTCGGATTCGATCATCTCAGAGGTCTTTTCCAACCTAGTTGATTCCGTGCTTCTTTACGGCACTGTGTTCTCAGGAGCCCCGGGGCTGTGCCCAGGGCAGCTTTCCCCGGAGCACGGACGACCCGCATCCCCTCGCCGCCCTCCCCTTCTCTTTCCCCCCGGCTCACGCCGCCATCTTGCCCGCCCCGCCCCCGTGGCGGCGGCGCGAGGCCCCCGGCCGGGCTGTCCGCGGCGTTCGCCGGCGGCGGCGGCGGGGCAGCCCCGGCCCTGCGCGGCGGGAGGAGGGAGCGCCATGGCCGAGGCCTGGGCCGGCTTCTCGCAGGAGGAGCTGCGGCGGCTGCGGGGGCAGCGCCCAGGTACGCACCGGGCACCGGGGGGACGGCAGCGCGGGGGAGCCCCCCGGGCCTCGGCACCCCCGCAGCTGTACCTGCCTCCCTTCGCCCCTCAGCCCCTCCATCTGCATCTCCTTCCGACCCCTCAGTTCAGGTGGTCTATCCCCCCATCAAACGCCTAGGCAGCCCCTCCCGTCCAGCCCCATCTCTCACCCCTCCCCTCATCCTGCCCCTCTCTCTGACCCCCCACAACCCTTCGGTCGCGTTTCCAGGCTCTCCAGGCTCTCGCCCTGCTTCCACATCCCTGCCCACTGCCCCATTCGTGTTCCCAGCCTCCTCTTTGCCTACGTGTCACCTCGTTCTTCCCCGTTCTCCGGTTTATGTCCTTGATTTGCCCACTAGGCTGCATGGGACCCTTCCTCAGCCCCAGATCTGCCTCTCCATGATTATCCCAAGAGTTGCCTCTCTCCTATCGTTCCTCCTTTAGTTCTGCAGTCCAGGCCCCTTATTCCTCCCTCTCCTTATTTAAGAATGCTCATATCCTTTAAAACTCCAGATCCTTACGCTAGCAAAACATTTCCAGCTTGCTGGGTTTTCCCCCACATTAGCTTTCCATGGCACTCTAGTCGTCTCATCCTTATGTTGGTTGTGCAGCAGTTGCTTGTCCAGAAAAACTCATTCACAGATTCTTTGACAATGAGATTTGGTTTTAATCCCGTTTCTCCCTCTCCTCTGATAGAGCTGTTCGAGCCCTCGGAGCAACAGCAGCAGCAGCAGCCTCGCCCCCACACTGGGAACAAGCCTCGGAAGCAATTGCAGCAATTGCAGCGGGAAAAAGCCCTCCAGCAGCAATGCCAGAGGCTGGGACTGCAGGGTGGGGCAGCCCCTGTCACTCCGGAGCAGTTGCTCTCTGCACCAAAGCACAAGCCCTGTCACCCTCAGCAGCCGGTGCCAACACCTCATCCTCCTCCTGCTGGAGATCAAAGGCAAAGTGACAGCCAGGATCAGCGGGAGGAGGTGACACCTTGCAATGGCAGGGACAGTGCCCAGCCCAGCCCTGCACAGCCCAGCACCCAAGTGGAGAGAAAGAAAGTGGAATTGTTAGTAAGTCAGTAAAATCCTGGGGTGGGGGCTGTTGCTCTGCGTTGATTCATTTTTTCATTATGAAGTAAAGTGAACTTTTCTGTGTCTAATTGGAAGGTTTGAGAGATCAAATCATTCCCTCTCCTGTGAGGAAGGACTGAGAGAACTGGGATTGTTCAGCCTGGAAAAGAGAAGGCTTTGGGGTGATCTAATTGTGACCTGAAGGGAGCCCACAAGAAAGATGGAGACTATTTACAAGAGCAGGTAGTGACAGGACAACGGGGAAGGGCGTCCCATTGACAGAGAGTAGGTATAGATTAGATATTAGGAAAAAAATCTTCCCTACGAGGACAGTGAAGCACTGGCACGGGTTGCCCAGAGAAGCTGTGGATGCCCCATCCCTGGAAGTGTTCAAGGCCAGGTTGGTCAGGGCTTGGAGCAACCTGGTCTAGTGGAAGGTGGTGGAATGTGATGATCTTTAAGGTCCCTTCCAACCCAAACCATTCTGTGATTCTATGACCATATTAGATTGCTCTGCATTGGAGCTTTGGTTTTAATCTCTAGTTGGGTTAAACCTGATTGAGGACCAAATTCTGCAGTGTACTCTATGCAGAGATGCACTGTGCTGTTTCCACATAATTTCTCGTGGCAGTGGCTCTGCTCATCATAAAGTGCCTGAGATGTCTTTATGGTTTATGAAGGCTGGCCTCCAAACTTCCATGCATCATTTGTATTCCCCCAAGCAGGGATCAGCAGCTTTCTGGGTGTGGTGAGCCAGACACTGTTCAGCTCCTTTTTGGTGGGGAAAACACCTGGAGCTTTGCAGAGACGTTTTTCACGCTGTGGGAGCAAATGACATTTTGCTGCAACAGCCACCTCCTGGATCTGCTGGATTCATCTCAGCCTGGGCACTTGAATCTACATCTTACTGCAAATATTTCTCTACATGAGTTTTTAGGGATAGGGTGATGAGAAATCTGAAGAGATGTTCTTGTGCAGAAGTGGTTGTTAGTAGCTGAGTTACTTGGGTATTTTTAAGCTGAGGGTTCTTCAGAGAGGGCATGAAGAACACAATGGAGTGGGAAAGCAGCAAAGCAGTTTTTTGTTTTTCCTGAGTCCTGCCCAGCTGTGTTGCCCCCCCTCACCTGATCCCATCCTCTGGGGCTGCTTGTATCTCTTAGTAGGCGTACCTAGGAAAGGGAATCAATATTCTTTCCCTGGTGGTAAAAGTGAATTCTTGTTCTTCCTTGTTGCTGATTTTCACTACGACTTTTATCAGCCTTTCATTTTTATCAGTTTAATTATTTGGGGGCTGTATTGTAAAGCAGGCCTGTAAAAGAATCTGTTTTATGCAAAAAAAAATTTCCAAAAAAGAGGCTGTGTTGGCAGACTGAACAGATGGCAACTTGTAGCAGCCAGTAAGAAACTTGAAACTGCTTCCACCTAGTAGGGAAGCACATCCTTTAAATGAAAAATTCCATCCATTTCTGAAAAAGCGCTCCATGCTCTTTCTTCCAGCAAAGCTGAATTAACCAGCAGCTTATCTGGTTGTGCAGATTTTTGTTATGATCAGCAGATTTCATCTGAAAATGTTTTTATTGCTCTGAGTGACTTCTTGCAGGTGATGCTTCTTTCCTTAGAACCGAAGCCTGTTTATTGTTCCTTTGACATTTCTAGAGTTTACTCCAGGAAATATGATGGTGAATATTTGTGTTATGTGGAGAACGGGAAGAGAAATGAACTTTCTGTTAATTTTGATCTTCTTTTCCATGAGCAGGCAGGAGAAATCCCGATGGGAAATCCTCCAGCAAGAGCAGCGGCTGATAGAGGAGAAGAATAAGCGCAAGAAGGCTCTGCTGGCCAGAGCTATTGCTGAGAGGTAACAGGCTGTGCTGCATGGGCTGAGCACGGGCAAGGGGTTACTTTTCATCTGCAGATCTTGATTTAAATGTCACTTTTTCCTCCTCTCTGTGCTCAGTGTGTGCTGCTCCAGAAGTGAGCAGCTGTGAGCGACATCTCCCTTTGATGACAAGTGCTGGCTAAGAAGTTGTGACTAAGCTTTTCACACTTCCAAAGCTGCAGCTCTGTGTGCAGATGGAAAAGTTATTACACAACTCGAGAATTAGCTGAAGTCCTTGAATTTGTTAGTGAGATCATGTTTGGAAGTTGGGATGCTCAGATGCTTATCCGTGTTCTGTTCCTGAATTGGTTTTGCTGGATTTAAGGAAAGTTCATTTGATTCCTAAATTATGATGAGAAACTGTTTGAGCTTTTGACTCTTATGAGTATGTGAAGAGTATTGTAAAGAGAAGATTATCAACTTTAATTTGAAGAAGATACCATTGTACCCCTGGCTGATTAGAAATTATAGCACATGGTCTCATTTGTTGGCTCTTGCTCTTCAGGGGACCAGACTTTAAGGCATTGTATAGTGATATAGTTTAAGACTGCACAGAAGGCAAGGTTTGTAGGGAAGGATGTTGGAACAGCTCATAGTACTGGATCAGGGAAAGTGATGTGAAGCTTTCAGGCTTGCAGTGCTCTCCCAGACATGTTGTGTTCTGCCCAACAGAGCCCTTGGGTAGCACAAGTGAACACAGCCCATACTGTGTAGAAGATTCTCTTTAAAGTTCTGAAAATGGTGTTTTCCTTTGCCAGGCAGAGAGAAAACACGAGTGCATTTGTTCTGAGTCACTGTAGGACAGCAAACATGGGTGTGACCACCAGGCTGGGTTCTTCCTCCTGGAAACAAAGCCTGAGGAGAGAGAGGAGGACATGGAAAGTGATACCTAGGGAGTTACATCTGACATTCAGAGTCCTTCCTCGGGCTTTCAGCAATACCACAGGTGTCTTTCCCTTCCATGTGCATCAGCTGGTCTAATGAGAGATGCTGTCACTGCCTGCACAACTAGTGTTGGTTTCAGATACCTACTTTGGGTGTGAAGCAGTGGCTGGGAAGTGTGGATTTGCTGGTGATGATGAGAGTCACTCAGCTTGCTTGGGAGTGAAATCCATCAAAGTTTGCTGCCCTTAGCAACATTTAGTTTTCAGGACGAGGGAATGAATAGGCTGAGTTGAAAAAGGTTACATAAGGCTTGATTGAAATCCTTTGTGTCTGATGTAAAACTTTCCATTCACTTCATTGGGATTTGGCTGGGCCTTTTGGGAATAATTTTGCAAAATTGAAATCAAGCTTAGGTTAGGTGACTTTTTGGCCCCTACTAACTGGGCTTCTTTGAAAGGGGATATTTGCAGGGCTAAATGCCCTTCCCCCTCTCACTTCCCCCCCAAGCCATTTCCTGTTTCCTTACACTGGGAACTACTTAGATACAGCAGCTTCTTGTGTGTTTCCACAGTGAAGAAACACAATCCATTTTAGGCACTTTGATTATAGTCATTACATAATTTTGCCGTAGTCCTTTAATAGCAGGCATTTTAGATCCCTGTGGATACTGAAAAAGATCAAAAGCCCTAAACCATAAAGGGGAAACCTTCTGAATAGATCCTAAAGAAGTTGGTTGCTCTGCAAATGAAATGGGGCCTGGTATGTCAAGAAGAGAGGCTTGAAAAGAGGGAGAAAAAAAAAGCACATCTTCCTTTTGCAGATCCAAAAGAACTCAAGCTGAAGCAGTGAAACTAAAAAGGATTCAGAAGGAGCTGCAAGCTCTGGATGACATGGTGTCTGCTGACATTGGCATCCTGAGGAACCGCATTGATCAGGCCAGCCTGGAATACTCCTATGCCCGGTGAGTGACACACAGGGAGGAGGGAACAGGGAATAGGGAATAGCTCTGCCTGAGAGCAGGGAGAAAATGCTGTTTCCTGTCACCAAAGCAGTAATGAAGCTATGTCATTGTAATAACGTGTAGTTAAAGCAGTCACAGTCTGGGGGGCTTTCAAATCTTGAGGTAAAAGCATGCTTTTTATTTCCTAATTTTTCCCTTGGAGTCTGGAAACCGAAGCAGGTTTTCTGACTGCAGAGTGTGCTGTCACGAGACATAAGTAGTGCCTTAACTGTGCAGTTGTCCATAAGCCCTGCTTTATTGTTTCAATGTTGTTTATTTCTTCTCAGGGGGAAAGAGGTTTTTTCTTGAAAAGTCCTAAAATGAAAGTCCTTTTCAGGCAAACTTGCTTGTTGATGACAGCTCTGGTCCTTTTGGAATCAATGGGACCAATTAAGCTTAAAACATATAATACTGCTGAAGTGCTTTTGGAACTAGGACCAAAAACTGAAGGAAAAAGCAAGCTTTCACCCTTCACAATGTGCCTTTAATCACTCTGGTTCTGATGAGTTCCTTAAATGCAAGAAACTAATTGGAACACCCCATTAGTTGTGGGTAAGCCACAACATCAGTAGATAAACATCGGGATGTTTGTGCAGCCGTTTCATAAAGCAGAAATGTTTGGTTGCGGTTTTGAGTTCACAATTCAATGTGTTAAATGTGCATTTCTCCTTTTGACTTTTGCTATACATTGACCACAGGCCAATAAACATGATAATTAGTCTCTAAAAAAATAGCAGTGGTAGCTAAAAAAAAAAAAAAAAAAAAAGAAGATTTCTTTAGTGTTAAAATAAGTTAAAATATCTAAGATTAACTGTAGTCAGAGTGGCTGATTGCATATGAATACAGAATTTAATGTCCTGAAGTGGAAAAACATTTCAGTGTTTCTGAAACCATTACATGCTCCTGCAAATCTCATACCCGAGTTTGTAATAATGTGTCTATTTGAAATGCTTACTGGCAAAAGAGCACAGAACACGAGGGGCTCTGACATTTGGAAAGCAGTTTTTGATGACAAGAACAAAAGGAGATGCTGGTAGGACAAGTGGATAAAATTTATCAAATTCTTAATGACTTTCATGAACTTAGTCTTTTTGTGAGGGAGGGACTTGGAAATGCAAGTTAGATACTTCCAGTGCTGCAGTTTTCATGTATTATAAGCCAAAGCCGATTTACTTCTAAGTGGTGTCTTTTAAAGCAAATTTTTAGTTCTTGCCTTATGTTTTAGGGCTGAAACAAAAATCGCTTCAGTGGGTCAAAAAGTGCAATTTTAAATAGTCCTGAGCACATACATAGTTAGGGGCATTGGCCAATCACTGTGGAATTGAACTTTCATAAACATGACGTGAATAATATGTGTGAATTCAGCCCAAAGGTTTAACTGTGCAGATGTTTCCAACATAGTATTATTAGTTTTTCCATTTCAGGTGTCTGACCTAAAGAAATCTTGACTTTCTTGAGAGGCAAATGTAAATGGGCATCTTCTGCCCACTGCAGACACAGCCTTTACATCTGAGTCAAAGTTTTGTGATGATTATATAAAAGAACATATTTGGGAAAGCTTTTCTATGTCTCGTTTCCTTCTGTTTCACTAAGCAAAGGATCCTGTCTTTCTGTTGCTTTATAAAACAGCTGGCTGCTTTGTTCAACCACCTTACTTACATTAGTTTTGTAAGTGCTCTGTAAGGTGCACCATGTAGCCATGCTGCAAAAACCTTTTCCTGATGAGCAAGATTGCACCTATCTGTCTCTTAATTAGAATGAATACACAGATTTACTGATGCAGTGGAAGAAGCATCACTAATGCAGACACCAACCATTAAAGTGCTGGATATTCTCTGTGTGTTAACCTCGATAAATATTTAGAATATTTCCTTTTTGCTATATTTGTCGTGACAGGAAGTGCAAATTGGCAGGAGGTGAGTGTCAGGGGGATGCTTGCAATAAAATTCTACATCTGTCGCCACGCAGAAATTGTGATCACTTTTGATGTCACATCCTGTGTCAGTCTGTGCTGCTCCTGATTTTCTGAACGTGTCTATGGGTGGCCAGAAGAGTACACTATCCAAATGTCCATATGTATCCATGCTGTGCTCCTTTGAGCATCTGTATCTGTCGGGGCGTGGTTGGGTTAGAAGAACCCCAAACTGCTGTGCAGTGTTTCGGTTCACTGGGCGGGTGTTCATTACAAGTGTGAAAACTGCAATTTCTGATGGTTTCTTTCTGCTGCTAGTGATGCATCCCTTCAAACAGGCAGCAAAAATGTGTGTTTGTGATTCAGTCTATAGATTTCAGATGAGCAAGTTAACTCTTGGAGTACACAGCAGCAGAGCCTGGAGTGTCCAGAGAAGTTTTGATCAATTCACACTTATTTTCTTCCCCTTTGCTAACGTAGCAGCACGTCGTGAACAGCTGGCATAATGCACGTTGCATTTCAGGGATGTTTGAAGTGTCTGTCTGTGTGTCAGGCTGTGGAGTGCTTTGAGAATTAACCCACTAGAAATGGTGCTGATTTTGCAGGAAGCGGTATGAAAAGGCGGAGTCGGAGTACGTGGCAGCCAAGCTGGACCTCCAGCACAAGACGGAGCTTAAGGAGCACCTCACGGAGCACCTGTGCACCATCATCCAGCAGAACGAGCTCCGCAAGGCCAGGAAGCTGGAGGAGTTAATGCAGCAGCTGGATGTGGAGGCAGATGAGGAAAATCTGGAACTCGAGATCGAGGTGGAGCGGATGCTGCAGCAGCAGGAGGCAGAAGCAGGGAGACAAGGCAGCCAGTCACACAGTCACGCTGGGACAGCAAAGGAGAACCCCACTCCCGGTGGTACAGGGCGGGAGGGCGAGCGTGCCAACCATACTGCTGCTTCTCCTGCTGCTTCTGAACAGTCTCAAAACTCCGGGACCAAATCCCTCTCCAGTATGGACAGACAAACTCAAGCAGCAGATGTGACTTCAGAAAGCTCCCCAGCTTGTTCTGCTACATGACTGCTGGATGCAGATGAGCCCGTGGTTATGGATGATGTACTCTCTGCAGGCCTGGAGGTTATATCTGGGCTTTGGCAGTACCAGTCACATGCACTTCATTTCCCTTTTCCTTTAATACTGTTTTCAAATTTTAAAGGTGCTTTTTTTTTCACAAGACTCATTTGGGGTTCACCATCTGTCATTGTCTCTCCTGGTTTGTGTTCATGTTCTAATGCCCATCTCTTCACAGGCTTTTATACCTTCCTGAAACAGCACATTTGCATGTGAACAGTAGGGTTTTTCCAAAGATTTTCAGCCTATTGGTGTCACAGATACCTGTTCTGAGCAGGGTGCAAGAGATAGATACCTACAGAAGAAAATACCCCTTGATCTGCTTCAAAATGCATTCTGTCCCCTAACATCTGCAATAGAATGTTTTTCTTCCTTTGTATCCATAAAGGATTAGTTTTCAACGGTTTCTACTGCTGTGAAACCCAAGTGCTTACTTTAATTGCCTTTGTAGATGATACTCTTTCCTCATGGAAAGGAAATTTGCATACTGAGGCAAATTGCAAAGTCAGTTGTAATACCTCATATTTATCACTTTGCCTATTCCTTTCAGATAATGCTGAATCATTACCAAGCTGTACATGGATAGATCTGTCAGCTATGCTTTAACAAAAATGATGGGTACAGTTTAAGACCCTACAGAATGTAGAAGTAGAAACACACAAAAGAGAGTGTGTTACATCTAAAGCTTCCATTGCAAACATTTTCTCTGTTGTAGTTGCCTCGAAGTGCCAATAATTAGCCAGGGATCTTATAGTAAATAATCTCCACTATATATTGGAAATGAGCCTATTTTTGTATGACATTCAATGCATTTTCATGCCGGAAAAGCAGGTTTGTACCCCACAAGAAGTTCAGCTGGTTCACTCTGTTGCTGTTGAAAGGCTTTAAAGAGCTATTCCAGGTGGAGAAAGTCTCAGGAATTAGAAGAGGACGTAGGAAAATCTCCCATAGACTGATTGCAGCTGCAAACCGTGGGGAGTTGAGCTCACAGTTATCCGCTTTGTAACATGGAAGTGTGGGAATGGTTCCTGGAATACCTGACCTGAACGTGTCGGTCAGAGTTTATGAATGAGTTGCTGAATGACGCCACCGAGTATATAAATGGGACACTGATTGTCCCTATGGCTTTAACAGTGGAAAAACATGTCACTACATTTCATTTTTATTCTATTAATAAATCAGTGCATCTTGTACGCAGTGTGTTTACTGTCGGTTGTGATATCTGAGACTAATACGTGTATCCAAGACTGTTTTTCCACAGGAGGTGATAAATGGCAGAATCAGATACGTCCTTTGGCAACTCTCTGCTGTGTGAAAGTAAAACCTCAAAAAAGGCTGTTCCAAAACATGGAAATGTATGAAGCAAAGACATGGCAGGATACGGCTTGGCAGGAATCTCTTCAGCTAACTGGCCCAGGGCAGCAGTGGAAAATCTCTCCTGGTGCCTCCCATACACAGGAGAAAGTGGAATAAATATGTTTTCTAGAGAAGCCGCTCATAATTGAGGTTGATTAAAGTTAGAAAACTCCAAAATATCATTTGAAATACGTACGAAGCATTGCTCTGTGGTTGCTGGTATACTGCATTCACTGTTATTTTGCTGGAAGACCTGAAGCAGAGGATTTGATTTTATTATGAGAAAATTGTGAGTGACTTCCTTTGCTCTGTCTGCAGTTGCAGGACAGCTTGTAGCAACCTGATGATGGTTTTCAGAACTGGATACCAGTAAGTGTAGTAATAATTTAATTGTACCATTTTCGTTTCCATCCTCTGCAGCTGTCCCCAGTTGTTGCTCAAGAGGTTCAAAATCCTGTTCCTCATTACAGTTGTGTTAATCTGGTTGGGGACACACAGCAGAGCTTCTGACAGAAGAGTTGAGTTGCAATGGTATTTACTGGAATCACACACACTCCATTTTGCATATAATTTGTGGTTCTCTAATAGGCTAAAATGTGGTTAAATTAGTCCTGCTCGTTGCACCTCGTTGTCACAGGTAAGATTATTGTTTGAACTCCGAAAATGGCAAAAAATTACAAGTCCAAAGATCTTTTTGACGACTGCTTAAGAATATGAGTTTCCTAGAATGGAGTAAGTTTATATCCAACAAAATTGCTTAAAAGCTGAAAAATTCTTGTGTACCATCCTGATAGTGCTGGTGCTGTTTCTGCCTGAGAGGGAAGATGCTGTTAGAATCAGCAGGTTCTGTTCTCTGGCGAGTCCCTCGTTGAAGTTCTGGCCTTTGACTATCTGCCTTTAACTTCTGAGCTTGCAAAATGGAGTGAACTGGCTGGGAGCCACATGAAACAGCCATGTGGGATAACAACAGCAGCCTAGCATTTGGTTGCTCTTGCTGGACAGGGAGCTCAGGAGTTAAATTGTTTGATCTAAGTTATGAAGCCTTTCTGTGACGTGTGATACAAACCACTACCGTGGTGTCAGTTCCACTTTGGAAGTTCTCAAATGTTTTGATGGGTGCCAGTGTGCTGGTTTAACATTCCCCCTGTGCCGGAGCCAGGGAGTCCAGTCGTAATTGTAACAACATGTGTGCTGGTCAGAAATGCCAGGAGATGATTTTGGTGCAGCAGAAGGGTTGGGTTTTTTAACTTGTTTTTCCTTGAAGGAAGGAGAACCGTTGGAATTGAGGCTCTCCAAGCAAAAGCCATTTCTTCCTTTGTAGTGGCTGCTGTGTCTTACAGTGTTTGGATTTGCTGTCCCTGGAGTGCACTAAGGGCAGGTGTGCATTGAAGGCAAGTGTGCTCTCCACTCCACTGGTGTGTTATATCTCTTCAGAAGAATAGAAAAATAAGAAGTTCAGCACAGATCAAGAATGAGTGGGCAGATCTTTAGTGAGGACCTCTTGCACAGGTAGGGGGAGAAGTCTGAGTGTGAAGCGCGCTGGGATTGAACACCCCCAGCAGGGAAAATAGAGCAGCATGTGATGTCTGACAGTAACTGCAGGGCTTGTCACAGGGGACTTGCATTCTGCTGTGGCAACGTGGCCATTTCTGTGTTGGACCAACACATTACCATTATGGGATGAACTGGAAAACACCAACGTACACCCCTGTGAGAATGTTACAAAGCACAGTATAATTGTCCGTGTTGCATTTTGGCCAGGATGTCAGGATTAGCACTCCCTCCTCTGTCAAGGAATGTTTAAATGAGCACAGATGGTCATGACTCAGCCTGGGGTTCCCATGGATGTCTACTGCATGGTGTAAAACACTTGGACAACCCCCAATCTGATTGTGTATCCAGCCAGATGAAGCTGGGCTCTCAAGAGGTTTGAGCTTGGGGTAGCTTTGTGGGGAGGGACTCAAGTTCTCCATCAGTCATTTGTCTTCCTAATACCTTTTGTGAAGTGTGGAGTCTTTCCTTTGAGCCTGGATCCCACCTGAACTGAATGAGGAAAAACCAGTAAGAAGGAAATGTAGTGACTGGTCTAGTGGTTGGGGGTACTGTGTTTCCTGACCAGCTGCATGAAGAACATGCTAGAGAGGATTGCTCATGGAACAGTTAACCTTGGGCAAAGTTCAGGAGCCAAAGAAAGGGGCAGAGCTCCATTGAATTCCCTCCCTTGCTGGGATTCCCTGTGTCCTATATTTTCTATATAGGACAGTAGGATCTGTAGGCTTTCTGTTCCTAACACCCTTTTGTCAGGGTTCAAATTTGGATTAGGCCCTTGGGATATGGCTTGTCCCAGCCTGAGGACTGGAGCTTTACCCTACCTTATGTGGGATCTTTGAGCATCTGTGGATCCTGGTCCGAGTTTGGTACTTTTGTGTGACTCTTTGTAGACACAGTGTCTTGGGTCTCTGTGCTCTGCTCTTGTACATGCCATAACTGTGTACAAGGGTTCATGCAGTTACTGGGAGATAGCTAAAATTTTTCTGCAGGCCTGATCCAACCCAGAAATCTATGCTAAACACTTTGGCGTTATATCATGATCCCTTTTCTAATTCCATGGATACAAGCAGGTGTGGTGCATAAAGGGGCAAAGGGTTTTGCCAGTGGCAGTGCAAACAGTGTGTAGATGTGGGCTGGTGTTACAGAAACCACATGCTTGTTAAGTGCCCTATTTAGGCTTGCCTGCATGGTCCCATTAAAGCGAGTGTTGGCTCCTTTGATGGGGCACGAGACTGGTTTCCTTCATCATTTCCCCTGATTTATGTCCCAGCAGCAAACTTGGTACAGCAGTGGGGAAAGACCAAGTAACGAGAGACCTTAGCCAAACCTCACCCCCTCGGCATGATAGGACATCAGATCCTTCAAATCCTTGCCTTTGGCAGCCTGTTAGTTACAGGGCTTAAATCATGCCTTTTAAGATGCAGGTAGAGACACTAAAAAGCTTTGGCCTTTCTGAATTAGGGCCTGGATTGTGTAGTTAGAGTCATTTTCTCAATTAGCTAAACATAAATCAGTATAACGAGGCACTTGGGAGCACTGGGCAGGTTTAGTACCTTGTCTCTCCTGCCTCTGTCTGTACCACTCCCACCTGCTTGTTTGGCTGATCAGCCAGTGATTTTATTTTTCCGTGCTGCTAGAGCTGAGCAGTGGGTTTTAATGTCTGAACTGGTTTTCACACCTGGCACATGTGTGCGAGAGGGGGGAACTGGGAGGAATTGCTCTTAGGCAGTAAGCAAAGCAGCCCTCACGTGTGGCAGAGGTTGAACAGCCTCAGCACTCCGTGGCACACCTCCAGGGGATGGGGACAGTGTCCTATTGAATAGGCAGCGTTGGGTGGTGGCATGAGTGCAGAAAGTCCAGCAGCAGCAGGGATGCTGTTGGATGTGATATCTGGGAGTGGAAAGCACGTGTGGGGGCCAGGCACTGTGTTTGTCCTCTAGAGCTGGGTAGTGAACACGTGATTCCCTTTTCCAGGGCTCCACCGTGTAAGGGCTGTGCTGTTTTTTGGAGACTGCTGGATAATGAGTATGGGATAGCTTGCCCTGTACCCAGGTCAGCCCAGTGCTCTAGTGGAGCACTGGGATCCATTTCAGCAGACAGCAAGAAAAATGCTTGGAGGTTCCTCACAGCAAAGAATAAAACCTTGAGAAATGGAAGAACTCGTTTTATGCCTTGTGATGCCATTGAAGTGCATATAAATCATCCAAGGGGAAAGCTGCAGTGTTAGGGACATCCCTTCACTCTGCTGCATGTTTTAGAATGGGGGAGGATGTGGCAAGATGGCAGAATGAAGGAACAGAGTCACTGTTCCCCCAGACCATGCTCGGGCTGAAGCTGTGGCCCTCCCTAAGTCAGCTTTCAAGGCTTGGAGCTAAGTAAGACACCAAAAAAACACCCAAAGAGTCCTTAAATGCTCTGGGAGTGATAAAAGTGAAACATGAGCCATAAATACATCCCTGAATAATGGACCTCTTTAACTTCCCCATGCAAGGTTTCTTGGTTTTCTTTAGCTGTTGGTAGTGCTGTCAGTGTATCTGAACACATGAGCTCGGTAGAGTGAAACAGCTCTGTCTTTGCAGGCTCCAATCACTGTCCCCATTCCAGTGTAGACAGATCCTGTGTCCCAAGGAGGGGATAATGCAATCCAGACATCATCGTCTTCGAAGTTTCTCCATTTGCATCTGGAGTAGGTTTCTGAGTATCACCCCAAACCCTCCATCATATCTTGAATAGTTCTGTAGCTGTTTAGGTGATGACTGGTTGCTGATGGTGCATATTCCATTGTCTGTGGTGCTGATGGTCTCCCAGAGGTTGGCTGTCGTGTGAGCTGCAGCTGGTCCCACGTTTTGGTGGTTTGCTTCATGGCAGAGAAGTTGATAGTACTTGGCGTGAGGATGTGCTCATAAAGAACCAGGTCCATTCCAGCATTTTCCTAACGTGCTTCCCTGATCCTCCAAGAATCCTCTTGCAGCTGTTGTAAAAAATCATGCCTCGTTCTCTGCAGGATTTTCTTCTTGCTTCCAGATCTTTTTTTTCCCTATCTGCTGAAATGCCAATTGTTTTCTTTCCTTTGCTCTTCAAATGAAAATATTTAGCAATGGACTTTTCTCCATGACATCCCACTGCATCCCCTAAGTACTGTGGAGTGTTCATCAGTCTCATTGACACTAAACAGTTCTGCAAACAGCACTGCCAAGCAGGCAGGCTCCTGCTCCTGGACTTGCTCAGCATATCTGCTACTGCCAGTGACAGTCCCTCTGTGAATCTTTTGGGGATGATGCTCTTG